AGAGAAGGAAATAGAGGAGGGAGCGAAGCTGGGTTGAACGAGGAACGAGCAGACGATGAAACAAAGAGGAAAAGAGCCGGAGGGTAATCGAGAAACGAAGCGAGAGAGAAGAAGGAGAATCATTGTAGAGAGGGAGAAGCTCGAGGGAGCAGCGTGACACGAGACGAACGAAGAGAAGGAGATAGAAGAAGGGGAGAAGGTAGTGTGAGAGGGGCGGACATCGAGGGGGTGTGTTTGGTCCGGGAACTCACAGTGATGCTGTATTGATCCGAGTGCACGAGCAGAGCTAAAGTAAGCCGAGGCTGGCAGAGCGTTGCCTTGGCAACCTCCTCCCTCATCCCTCAGGACTTTCCATCGGTCGGACCAGCCCCTCGCACACCGAAAACCACCCCCGAACAGAGAACCGTTTCTGCGCCTCTCTCTTGCTCTTTCACCCCCGTCATCCCTCTGCTTTCCACTCTCTCTCTTTCTCTGTCCTCACCAGGTCGATCTATAGGTGTTAAACGAACGCCCGGTTTCTCGTCGTGTCCTCGTATACGCTGGATCCCGCTAGATGTGGATGGAGGTTTGTACCGTTCTACGTGGGCGTACGCGAAAGATCCTTTTTCCAGTCGCGCGCACGTAGAATCGCTCCTTCCGGGGTCTTCGACACGTACTTTTTCTTTTGCCTTCGCGGAAATAATCTCGTCTATCTGCCGATACTAGCCATTCGCGGGAAGCCTCGGTCTTATTGTTGTTGTTTCCGCGAGAACGATGAACGAGCAAGTACGGAGATGGGTCATGGTATAATTGCAGGGATTTTTCTATAAGCCAAAGGATTGATGGTTGTAGAAGTTCAGTTGGAAGAAGTTTCGATTGAATTTCTATCGTGTTAATTTAATAAATTGCAAACGGTCTTGATTGTTAACAATTTCTATCGCTTCTTTATATGTAACGTGTAGTATTGACATTATAGTACGATTAAGACAGCTTCATATTTCACTAGCGTTGTTTAAAATCTCACGATAAGATAAATGTCGTCAGTTATATTGCCCCAACTGCCCAAAATTCGAAAGGCTTTCCCATCGAACAAACCATTTACGACCGAGAGTGCTCGACCTAGAAAGATTCTGTATTTATTTTGTCACAAATAGGAAACTTACCGCGCGGAATTTATCGAATGCAATCGTCTAGAAGTGAATTCGACTCCCTTCTACGTAATTTAGCAATTTAATCTATTCGATACAAACGCAGAAAAAGAAGAAGAATCTTTGTTTTACTATATGTATATATTTTTTCAGATCGAAGGTTAAACTATGGTACGTATGGTATATTTTGATGAATTTAAATAATGAAACTCTCTTAAACAGAGAACTTCGACGAGGGTGCGACACCCGCTTGCTCCTTAAACAAATCCAGCCTATTCTATATATATGTATTAAAGCCCTCATTTCTGTGCCAAAGATTTGGCCACTTCGAGAACTCACAGTAGGGGTTGAGAGACTGCATCATTATGTCGAATTGCGTATAGTAAACATTTCAGCTAGAAGTAAAACTAACTCCCACATCTAACTATTATTTCGACTAAAAAGGATGTGTCATGTGATTCAGATCGAATATACTACGAATGTTTGAAATTTTAAGAATGAAAAACAATCCCAAGAATGTTACTATAATTACTATAATTATTTTTATAATTATTTTATCTAAAATTGGAAAAAAATTATACATAATTATATTGTAAATGTAATTTGATATCTTGTATAATAAAAGAATATATTAATATCTTTATGCAAAATCTAAAGGCATAAATATGCAAGGAATTTATGTAAAATATAAAATATCTCGAATAGAGTACTCGTTATAATTTTCGATGGACAAGATAAATTTCTATTGGAATTTAATTTTTCACAAAAGTTTAAATAAAATAAATTTCTTTACACAGTTCAGAAAATACACTGTTTTGAAATGGAGGCTGTTTGATAACAAATTCATAAAGTTTACGATAGTAAAAGCTGCACGGCTCAACATATTTGTGACAAGTCAGAAGCTTCAAGTACACGTGATAAATGTACACTGCGAGGACATCTTCGGAATTGTATAAATCTCATCCACGCAAAATGTTTCCGGGTTTCATGGATCTATTTTACATGAAGACTCGAGCCAAGTATGACGTAGCTGGATTCTCTCGACACTTTGAAATTCTGGTTGCATTCGCGTAAAACAAATTTCCTTTTCTCCTGGCATGGACAAACGCGGAGTTAGATGGTGTTTTTATTACGTCCTCGCAATATTCTTCCGTGCATAAATCTATTTTAATCCTTCCGAAAAACGACAATCTCGCCGGGACATATCTTTTTCAATGAAACTCGCAATTCTTCAAACTTTCTTTTTTGCTTTTCATACCAATGTTTACATTTTGCCGGCGAAATTATAACGAAAAATAGAGCGTCGCGAATTTTAAACTTTTTTTCCAGATATTCTCCATGGTTACGAAAAAAAAAAAAAAAAAAAAAAAAAAAAAAAAAAAAA